ATTTAATGTGAGTGGATGAGTCGTTTTTATGAGACAAAGAAAATCATATTGACTTTTGTCTATTTTACAACAAAATAAACATCTGCTCACCAGAAACTTCTTCAGGTCCTTGTAGTTGGTAATAATCCCATTGTGAATCACAATGAACTCTGCAAACCAGAGAGAACATCGTAATGTTTATAAGTCCATGACAGCTGCACACAGTTCAAACGATCTGAGCTGGATTGTTTAGTTTGGCCTTTATGACACAACTGACCGTTGTTCTTGTCTGATCTTTGTGGATGACTGTTGACTGGGCTGGGAACGCCGTGGGTCGCCCAGCGGGTGTGAGCGATGCCAAGGTGAACATCAACTTCCACATCCAGGTCAAGATCTTGCTGTTCTAGAGGTCAAACAGAAAAAAAACAGCAAAACATTTAAAATGCAGATTGTTCTATGACTGTTTTGGAAAAAGCTTAATCTCAGCTTACTGTGAATCTCCTCATCGAGAGCCTTAACTTTTCCACGCTGCTTGATCAGCTGGATAGACTTGGCATTTGACTCCCAGTCCTTGCTGTTGCCTCCATCAATGCCGACACCTGGCAATAAGAAAAAAGCAAAGTTTGGAATTAAATACCTAATTAAGTACCTTAGCAAATTACATCTAGACTGTGTGGTTAAAGATTCATCTGGAATAACTGGAGCTCAATATCCAAACAGTGTTTGCCACAATAGACAAATTCAATTTGAATTTGTCTGTTGTTTATTATTCTGCTTTGTTGCGCAGACTTTGCTTTAAAACAAAAGCCTTGCTAAAGCCAGTGCCTGGAATCAATATCTAATCATCATTAAAACTGGGCTAAATGGGGCCCGGCGGTGGCGCAAGAGTAAAAGCATGTGACTCATATATGGAGGCCTTAGTCCTAAATGCGGTCGTCACGAGTTTGAGTGATGATGGGCCCGCTTTACTGTCTGACAGCTGTCAAGTACAATACCACTAGAGATAAGAAAACCATTTTATTAAATGGTCTAAATGAACACAGCTGGCTATTACAACAGCATGCCTTCAGAATGAATAAAACAGACTAGAAAAGCCCTGACCTTAACTGTACTAAAAATCCAGAACCACAAAAACTAACCACAGAATTTATCAAATCAGCTTGAATCACTTTAGATAAAAAAATTTATTTAAAGTGAATAACCATCAGAAATAATCTTGTAGATTGCAACAAAATCCATGTGATCAAGCTGATGACAAACATTTAACCAAATATTAATATTAGTATGTTTGAGCTTGTGTGTATGTCTGCAAAATGTTCCTTGATGAAAATCTCAATAAATTCAAATGTGTGCATCTCGTTCTTTTGTTTTAATTCACTTAAGGTGTGTTTCATCATCATCCCATCTTGACATACAGAACAATTTAAATATGTTATTAAAAGCCATAAATGGATAGCTGAATGAGTACTTGAGTCAATAGAAGTGGTTTTTAAGTCTTGCTGAAAGCTTGAAGCCCTGAACATTATGTGCAATCTTCTCTCATATACACAATGTGTTGGTGCACTTCTTATATCCAGAGTGCACTTGTCTTTAACACACTCCCCGATACACTAGTAGCTCTCAGTACTTTGACATATGAAAAACAAAAACATTTTCAACAAATTATGTTCTAAACCAGCAGCCACACCAGCATAAAACCTATTTTCCCTCATTTCAAACATTATATTAAATTTGATTGTCAAAAAAATGAGACAATGGCCTGACATGGGAAAACAAAGTTGTGGTTATTATGTCCTTCCACCATCTTTTTACCTGCTGAGTCATAGCCTCTGTATTCCAGGCGTCTCAGACCTTTAAGGAGGATCTCTAAGATGTCTCTGCGTGTCCTTGGCACATGGTAGTTGAGATAAGCAAATATTCCTTAGAAACGGGAAAGAAAATAAAGAGATTAATTAAGCAAAATGTTTGCTAGGCTGAAATACCTACATCAGGTGGCAGTTATAGTGGTTATTCAGCAGCTGGTACAATACTTTTAGCTCAGTGATGTACATATAGAGCCAAATAACAACAAAATGGGTCCGGTTCATATTCACAATGTAAATACAACTCAAATACAATAACACAGAGAGGAAACATGTTGGGTATTCTCTCTGACAGCCAACATTAATATTTATCAAACAAAAATTGTCAATAAATGACCATTACATTTGGGAAAACTCAGACTGGTAAGTTCTGAAATTGTAAGTACACAAATGTTATTTCGTTTTTGGCGAGTACCAGGAGTCAAACATTTGAAATTCAACAATTTGTCAACGTCAACAAACATTGGAGACCAGTTTTACAGGAGTCTAAAAACAGACATTGCTATTTGTCCTTGTTTGCCTTTACAGAACAGGAAGCAGAAAGTGGCTCAGTGGAAAAGATCTGAGACATTTTGATTTGAAGCCATTTAGTATCAGCGCAATAGGTTAATAAAGATTTCACCCTGAGACCATCCACATTTCAGGTCAATGGCTATCAGAAGCAAGGACACAACTCATGGCCTGAAGAGAGTATGAAATTACAGAGTTTTTTAGCTATGCAGGCACAGATAAATGCAAATCTTGAACTTGGAAAAAAGAAAAAAGCTTGAAAACAGAGACCTCATTCAGTATAGCAAGAGACAGACCAAGGAGGTGAGGGGCAGGGAAAAATACTAAGTGACTCACAGGAGCAATATTTGAGGAAGCATTGAGGGTGAAAAAAGTAAAAGGTCGAAAAAAGTGGTGGTAGGTGTCAAAAGAAAAAACAGAAACGAGTTTATCAGGTCCTGTTAGTCTGTTCAGATTGTAAAGACAGTGACGGGAGACCAGGACGAGCCATCAGTCACAAATGAAAGCGAAGAAACAGACTAACAAAGTAATTAAATGCTTTTCTTACAAACGAGTTATAAACAAAAACATTATATGTATGCTAACATGTTTCTCTTGAACATAATGCGGGTGGGGAAACACAAGCAAACAGAGCTACTGGTTAAGTTTCAGTGTCAGGACAAAAGCTACTTTTAGACTAAATATAAACATAAAAGGTACTCTCAGTCATTTTAATCATTACATAAAAATAACAAAATAGCAAGTGGAAAAGTTAGTACGCGTCATCGACAGCCCCATTAGCCGTCTGACGTTAGACTGAAGAAAGCAGGAATTGCACTTATATTAGACTTACTCGCGAATACACACATACACACAAAGATAGCTTCCATGTTAAAACGGAGTGAAAAACAGCAAAGAAATGAGACCGTTTATATTTAGCTGACGAGCAGCATCAGTAACACCATGGTGCTCATGTTCGCTAACTGGACAGAGGTTAGCCACCCAGCTAACAGCTTTTACACCAAACACATAGTCGACACCGTTTTATTTTTGTCTGTCTTCACGCCCATATAAGAGATGATAGCATAATATTCCAAACGAATGATACACGAGTAGAATAAGCACTCACCACACATGACTGCAGCGCCGTTGTGAGATTCAGCTACTCAGGTCTAAGGAAGCTGGGGACGCCTGTCAGTTAGCCTCGCCCCCTTTCCGACTCTAGCGAGCTCGAACCGCCTCCTTCAGCCCCGTTTTGATTGGTCGACGCGACTGCTAAGGCCGACCTCCTTCTTGAACAGCAGCATCCAATTGGTCGAGCGTCGTGTCAGTGGGGTTGCGCCTACAAACACGTATGTACTAATGACGTGGCATGAGGATGAGAAATTGACATCGCCAGTGATGGGATGACTGGACTTCCTGCAATCTTCCAGCTACCGTGAAACCAATTATTAAACCATAAGCGCAATTAATTGTAATGTGCAAATGTCTAGACTAATAAAGCGGAAGACATTAAATTCATTGGAATTTGAACCATCGCCACTCAGAGCATTTCTATTTATTTCAGTGATTTTACAAATCTTATAATTTTTATTTTAGATAGCTGCCATATTTGCGAAGTAGTAGTATTTTATGTTTTTACGTAGAATTACATACTAGAAATTTGGCAACATGACATTATCTATGTCTATGAAACCTGGTTGAATTTATCTGTTGTTATAATTACTCAAAATGTTTTTCTTTGGTTATTTGTATGGGTTCCTACCTGACTGAAAATCTGTTATTGTTTTAACTGTGTTACTTTAAAAACGGAAGCCCCTCCCCTTTTGTTTCTTCCTCTGTGGTATTGTCTTTAAAATGTTTGCGTCCCTTAGACCCTCCCCTTTTGTCATGTTCTGTGGGAGAGGTGTGTATTATTTATTTTGAATCTAAATACATCCGGTTTATTTATAGATTTATTAAGTTAATTTCTGTTATGTACTTTTGTTTATGTAGGGTTTGGAGCGGGCATTTATTTTCTACTTTTTATTCTTGTCAGAATAAACCCTTTTAAAGGTGAACCACGGCCTGATCATTTAAAACCAGCACAACGCAGATCGGATCCGGTTACATCTAAGTCATATTTTAGGCCCTCCCACCCCAACATCAATATGCACAAACATACAGCAAAACACTAAAACACAATAATATACACAAATGCAAATATTCAAGCACACATCTACATTGTACACGCTAATTTTAGTATGATTACCATGACAATATTGAATGATCAGGATATTTTCAGACATTAAATTTGACAATCTCACACCAAAGTGTTTTTCCAAGACAATGGACTCCACACTCTGAAACTAAAGATTAAGCAATCACTACAATCCTAGTGGTTGGTGTTTTGGTTGTTTGCAATGGCCTTCCCTTTCTGCAATATAATAGTCTTGCACCGCATTCAGTTTTGGCAATTCTTACAAAGTAATTTTAAAAAAAGAATTATTAAATAACATTTAAAGAAAACATTGGGTCTTCAGTCCAAAGTCATACAACGAAGTCACTCATAAAGACTAGAAAACAATAATAAAATGTAAAAGCATTATTCAGTAGGGCTCCAATCCCTCCATGCTGTTGAATTTACAACAAGCCTTTGGTAGAACAGCAAATATAAGCCACAGACACCGCAACACTTATTATAGCAATATTTATTTATATAGACAGCATACATTCTGTAAAGATAAAATATCCCATATGAATTTTCAGCCTACAGGCAGCGTTGACTGCTGCCTGATTCAGAAGTCGTGTAACACTATGGAAGAATAAATACAAATTATTTCAACTGTACAAGCTGTTTCTATGAATTGTGTCCAACGTATCTTTCAATTCCTCAAACCAGAACTATAAAACAAAATGCAAATATTTGGAACAATACTGAGAATGAGTTCTTGTCATCAGAACAGAGCTGAGTACTTTTATTACATCTATGGCTTTGATTGAAGGAGGTGAACATGTTGACACATGTCTCTGGTTTCAGTAGTTTAAACTTGAGCCGCCTCCTCATCCTCTTTTACCTGCAAAAAAATATACATGTATATATATTTATATATATCTTTAGGCAAAAATTTTTGAATAGTTTATTTACTGCATTTAATATTTTGTCTCCTGTACTTTATCTATAATAAAGCTCAGCAAATGAAGAAATTACACAGAACGGCAAACTGAGTTTTTCATTTTCCTAAAACAAAGCATCATTCTTAAAAGACTCACTGGAGTAACCAGATGAAGCATAGTAATTTCAGTCATTTTAACAAAACAGCTGTCAGAAAAAAACAAAACAAAAAACGAAAAAGTATCCAAAACATGCAAACCTCTTCAACTGCTTCAACCTCAGGTATGTAAAACTGCAGCATGTTCTGGATTCCATTCTTCAGAGTAACAATGGAACTGGGGCAACTGGTACAGGCACCCTGCAGCTTCAGTTTAACAATGCCATCGTCAAATCCTCGATACAGAACGTCGCCTCCATCCTCCTGCACTGTTGGCCTGCAAGGTGAGAGCATCCACATCCGTGAGACAGCGACCAACCACAGAAACAGACAGTCCGAAAGCATCTTTAGAACCCACTACCTTATTCGTGTATCCAGCAGCTCCTTGATCATAGCAACTACTTCATCATCATCCTCTGATGGCGCTGGAAAAGAGCAGAAACAATGATAATTTGCCAATTAAAAAAAAACATCTCATCTTACAGGTTGAGCAGACTGAAATCCAGACCTGTGTCTGCACTTGGCTTGCTGTCTTCATTCACAATTGGAAGTCCAGAAGTATAAAAGTCCATGATGGCCGCATAAACGTCAGGTTTAATTACTTTCCATTCCACTGTTTCATTGGACTAAGCAAAGCAATTGAGAAAGAGAAATCAAGTTATTTAATGTAATGATGTTATATTGTTCTACAATAAATTATTCAAATACAATCAGAAGCTTAAGTAGACCCATGATAAGTATGACTGTTGTATAAATCTGGGCTTTTTATGATGCGTCTTAAAATTTCACCTCCTCCCAATGCTTTCAACAACCAACTTACATAAGTATGGTTTGTTATTTTAACCATACATCTTATTTAAAAAGGCTAAAATGTTTTTTAAAAAAAGGGTTAGTTTTTTGGTACCAACCCAAAAGTTAAGGCTTAATTTACGTTTTTTTTTTTTTTTTTTTATGAAAAATAGATTCTGGCAATTTCAGAAGCTTAATGTTAACCTGCTTTAGACATTTGAAATTATATACATTAGAATTATAGTGCATGACATTATTAGCCATGATACATGTATTTAAAGTTTGGAGAGGTACTGAACGTTGCACTGAAATTCACCTTTGTGATGGTGATAAAATCAGGGCCCAGGAACACACTCTTGACTCCATCGATTCTAAACAACTGTCTGAAGAAAAAAGTAATTGAGAAGTATAAATCTATAACGCAAGTTCATATTCATATATTTATGTACACAACAATTATCAAACATTTTGAAAAAAAAAAGCAATTCAATTAAATCAAACTGAAAGGGAACAGTCAGCTTATGGAGAAGTCAAAAGAATCTGAGAGTTTTTCTTTTTCTTTAACTTTCTTTTAGAACAGTGGCTTTTGGTTCCCACACTCAATATGAGGGGGAAAAAAAGCACATGCAGTTTTTTAAAATATAAATTTATCTAATAAAGTGGAGGTTTTATACTATCAGATGTGCCTGTTGTGCCATTTGTGCTTAAGTAAACAATATTCTGAGAACATTTTATGAAAACTTCCTAAACCTGGCTAATGGTGAGCAGAATGCATCACGGGGGCCAGCAAAATTCATGGTCCCCTCTTCTAAAACTGTCCGCCCAGTCAGAAACTTCAGACTGTTTGGATTTGGTGTGTCCTGTGTCTGCACAAACATGGTCCTTCCTGAAAAGAGACAAAACACAAAGAGCAGCTTGAGATGAGATGTCTTTGTGACTGCCTTCTACGTACACATATAAGATTTTCTCACAGTACGTGAGCAGCTGTTAGCACACACTAACATTCAAAACAATCAATATTGCATCAGCATCCAGGTTGAACAACAGAAAAAAGAGAGAAGGAACACAAACCAGGAACCAGCCAGATTGCGTTTTGTGGCCATCTGTTGGAGACTCCAGTCGCTTTTGAGGGCCAATAGGTTCTACTGGTCTGACAGCCACTGCTGGCCAGTCTGAAATTTTAGAGAAACACATTAAAACACACATGAGTATATGAACCCTAATATCAAACATTAGTGTATTCCAGATTGGGAATGTGATAGCAGTAAATTTGAGAATGTGATATAATAAGAGTTAACAGACAGAGATCCGGACTCAAGGCTGAAATTTAGGGACAAATTCAGATTGACTTTGAAGAAATGTCTCTTGCTAAAAAAAATACTAACTGCAAGTGTCTTAAGAATGTGATTATAAATCATTCCGAGACTGAAATTATTCAATACGATATTATAGCTGGATAATCGATCCATCCATTTTGTTAGACGCTTATCCTCAAGGAGATCTCCAGAGGTCAACAGGCAACAGGTGGGGTACAAACCGGATAGCTCGCCGGTCCATCACAGGACCGCCGGATATTTTATCAGTATTAATGATGGTACACAATGATAATTATTAATGATAAGTCCATGTCCATGAATTAAACAAGTGGTTCCCACGAGTTATTAGGTCGTGGCCATAAATTCTTGAAACGTGTCCACAAATCAAAAGAAGTCGTGGTCAGTATTTTTATTTTATTTTTCTCCGATGTCACCAGACGTTCTCCGGAGACTATGAATTTTTGTTGTTGTTGGTTTTTTTTGTGCTTTTTAAATATTATTAATTGTTATTATTTCTTTTGGCGTGCCCAGGAGCGACGTCTGCGTCACTCCATGTTTAACCAGCAAGTTGCCCTCAGCGTTTCTTCACACGCCGAAAAAAGACAAATAAATATTTAACAGACAACATGAGCGAAGAGCGCCTGCATCCAGTTCACCAAACAAACATACTCACGGTCGCAAAAATCTTGCTGAAACACCCAACAACCTCCCGACTTGTGCATAAGTCGCCATGTTTGTTTCATTAACTAAGTGGGACGGAAGTAGTGGTCCTACGAACGGGAAGTGACGTGTTATTATTGTGCGCGTGTTATATTCCTCCTCCAGATACAAGCGACAGCTTGGTAACTGACAGGGCAGTTTTACAGGAGGTTCAAAAATAATACTCAGACAGCGTGAAAATGCCGTGTGGCAAAAATTTCAGACGGAGAAGGGATTCGTCGGACGACGAGGACGAAGATCATGGGACTACAGAAGAAGTTAGGTAAGTACTTTAAAGGCAGGTTGAAATACAGTTGAAGCTAACGCTGTGTTAGCTAACACAACAAGCTGTGCATTAGCAATGAGGAACTGTAGTTTATGGATATAAGTGATTTTTAATAAGCTGTTTAACTAGTGAGATTGCATAATATATTTTCAGATCGAAAGTAGAAGAGGCAAAAGAGCTACAGAGCTTGAGGAAACGACAGAGCGGAGTCAGGTAATGTGATTTTATCTGAAAAGAAGACTTTGAAACTTTGAGGAATAGTTCAATCCTTTTTGTCCTTAGCTCAGGTAAGATGCTGTGCGGTGGCTCTTGAAGCACTCACTTTAACCAGAGTTCATGCCATGTGAATCTCAGCAAAACCTTTGAAGGGGAGTCTTTCTCAAAATTGGAGTTACTTACCCCGGTTGCTTGTTCAGTTTTTTTCTTCCACTCAGCTTTCCATTATTACACTTTATACAGCACTCTGTGAACTGCCATCTTCTTTAGCCATGATCATTTGTGGCTTATCCACCTTGTAGAGGATGCCTGTCACTGTCTGCTGGACAACTGTCATGCCAGCAGTCTATCTTGTAATTGAACGCTTAAAATATGTCTAATAAATCTAGATTTGAGTTTTGAACTGGTTTATTTATAAACTTTGGCAATATATTGAGGAAAGACCTGCATGTAAAAATGATTACAGATTAGTAACTTTACATTATAATTTCTACAGTATAACTGCCTTATTGGTTGGAGAGAAACTCCCACCTGAAGCTGAAATAGATGTAAGTCATGTCAATAAATCCTCATTTTTGTGTTGATGGAGAACTTGCTTTAATTTCTGTTTGCTAAACTGAACATTTCTGACAGAATGATCCTTTCAAACTGAAGACTGGAGGGGTTGTAGACATGAAGAAAGTGAAAGACAGGAACAGAGACATGTAAGTGAATGGAGGGTGGTGTTGTGTATATAAAGTGGTTTGATTTCATAGCTAAGCACGCCGTCTGTTAAACAATGTGACTGATCCAATTACAGGACGGAAGATGAGACAGACCTGAACCTTGGCACATCATTCTCAGCGGAAACTAACAGAAGAGATGAGGATGCAGACATGTATGTATGCTTCCTTTATTTATTAGAATAAATGTATAGACATAAATAAGTGCTTACATTATTCAGTGTAAAAAACAAACAAACAATGGAACTGTTTAAAATGCGATGAATAGTTTATTTTAACGGCTGATTTGGTCTTATTTTCTAGGATTAAACTTTTAGATCATTTAGAATATCTCTAGATGTCAGTGGATCTGATGAATAGATACTTGAATGTATTTGATTCAGTCAGATCAGATGCAAACAAAGAGCATTTCTCTGATGTTCACAAACAATTTGTAGATGTGACATAGAATGTGGCGTATAACTGATGGAGCAAGGCATTGGCTTTATGTATTTGTCTTCATAGGATGAAATATATTGAGACCGAGTTAAAAAAGAAGAAGGGCTTGGTGGAGGCTGAGGAGCAGAAAGTAAAGGTGAAAAATGCAGAGGACCACCTGTACGAGCTGCCAGAGAGTATCAGGGTCAACTCTGCCAAGAAGACGGAAGAGATGTTGTCCAATCAGATGCTGAGCGGGATCCCTGAAGTTGATCTTGGCATTGAGTACGTTCAGATCATTCGTTACTAATCCTGCTCAGGTTGTCAGAGGAAACCTTCTTAGAACATTTTGCAGTTAGTCACTTCCTTTTAACGCTAAAATCTTTATATTTCTTTCTCAGTGCAAAGATAAAAAATATTATCCAGACAGAAGAAGCAAAAGCCAAACTCTTGGCAGAACAAAGGAACAAAAAGAAAGACCAGGGCACTTCTTTTGTCCCCACAAACATTGCTGTAAATTACGTCCAACACAACCGCTGTGAGTTCATTTCCACCTGCTGTGGTGTTAAAAGCCCTGGTAATTAGCTTGTGGACAAACTGAATGGTTTTATTTATTTTCTCTCAGTCTACCATGAGGATGTGAATGCACCACAGAGGCATCACAGGCACAAAGAAGAACCCAAAGCTAGACCGCTGCGGGTGGGAGATACAGAGAAACCTGGTCCAGAAGGTATGAGACATCAGCCACATCCTGTTAAACCCACTGCTGTGAAGCAGGACAACTGTAATAGTCTAAATGACGCTTTCTCTGTCGATCCATAGCGCCATCACCACCCAACCACCGCAAACGTCCCAACAACGAAAAAGCCACAGATGACTACCACTATGAGAAGTTTAAGAAGATGAATCGAAGATATTAGCATGGAAATTCTCAACATGTTGTCTTTCCTCGACACTGAGGTATAATGACAGCTCCTGGATTTGGTTACCTACAGAGTAATGATGACAGTACATTGACGGTGTTTTACCTTGTAGTTATTGTAAAAAGCATATGTGGTTTGTCAGGCATGTAATGCTTTGTGCTGTCCCATTAAATTAGGCTCTTCAGATTTAAAAACAATTTCAATATTTTTCAATAAAAGTGCTCAAATATCAATATCATGGTTTTAACTTTTAAAATATTTGGTTGTTTTTTAAGTAACCATTAGAATTGTAATCTACTTGCTCTGATGCAAAATTTGTGTGAATACATTTACACTTGTCATGGATTTGTATTCATTCATTCCGATTTGGCTGGTTGGATGCTCAACGGTCCTTGATAAACACCATGTACATATTTACAGTAATTATGTTTTGTTTATATGCATTCCTAATTTTTAATTTTCCTTTCAGGTAGTTCTCTGGATTAGCCTGTGCCATTTTAAACTATTTTTACACGTTTTTATGCACTGTGTTGTTTGCTAATATTAATAAACATTGGCCCTTTTATTTATTGGTGAAAAATTCCATCTGTTAGATGTAAATCTGATGCATTGGATCCCATTTGCTGCACCCACGCACTTTTAATGTTGGTGTCAGCAGCAGAGTAATTATCCATTACTGTGTAAGCTAACAGTTTCAGCTGAGTTTCTAGTATTCACTTTTAGCATTCAATTTCAGCTACGACTTCAGCTACGACTCACCCTACGAAAATATACAAGTAAAAAATAAAAACAAACAGCATGTTCTTTAATGTGAGCTGATTAGTTTTAACAGAGAAAACAAGTTTCACAATATAAATCCAGGGATGAACAAATGCATGTAGAGTATTAATTAAAAATGTGATGCACTAATCAGCTAACAAACAGAATAGGCCACATTTTCCTTTATCAGATTAACAAAAACATCCTTCCTGATTTATGCATCAATAATAATAATAAAAACTATATACATATAAACAGCTTAAGAGGTGTTTATATTTTTGGGCCAGATAGATCCTCTCCAGTTGGGGGGGATCTGGAGAGGTCCAACTTCCAGGATCTCTGCAATATATTCCATTTATTGTTCAGTGTAATTTTCAGTAATGTCTGAAGTAATCGTTTCATATACAAATTGAACCAATATCAGGAGGAATGTTGCTGTCAAAACTCTCACATTTTTGGATAACTGGACCTCCCAGATTATTTTGTTCAGTACACTTCATTTCCCTCTGCTTTTCCAGTAAATAGCATATTGAATTCGATTAAACAAAACTAAACACTATTTTCTATAGTTATACTGGTAACATCTAAACCACTAGTGCCCAGATTTAGCAGAAATATCCCTGCTTCCCCCTCATGGTTTCTCCGTGGCGCTCGTCCCGTGTCCGTTGACGTGATGTTGGGCGTTTGCCTCCTGCGACGGCGTCCTGTCGGCCTCCTCTCTGTCGTCTTGGGTCGAGCTGGAGCTGCTGTCTGGAGAGGCCCAGCTGTCCCGCCGGCGGTAGGCCTCACACAGAGGCAGGTCAGTGCTGTTCCACTGACTGTAGCTTTGCAGCAGAGCAGAAACCCGAATTTGGAGGCAAAGAGTCAGCGCAGCGCAGAAAGAGAGGAGCAGACGAGAGCAGCAGGTCAGAATAAACACACCCATACAAATAGCAGAGCAACATGAAAGCACAGAATCGTTAGAAGCAAAAGCACAGAAAAAAAAAATGTTGAACAGCTTTTGATTGGATTTACAATTTGATTTAAGATGAGCAAAAGGATGAAATTAGTTGCTATTTAAGACAGCAGTGCAAGGACAGCAAGAAAGTTAGGTCCATGTCAACCATGCTCCAGAGATACTTTTTGCACTTTTCAAAAAGAAAAAAAACAAAAGAAAAAACAAAGAAACTGCTTCAGCATTTTGTCTTCGCTTTATTTCTCAATAATTTTAAGTCCTCTGAAGCGCTTGCATGGTTACAGACTGACTGGATGGACACTACAAACGTTGGCGCTTAATTGTCTTTATCAAAACACATCTACATAAAAAACACTAGGCTGAGATTCAACCTAATTGTTAAAAGTTAAAACCAGTCTGGGTTCAACAATACAAATAACTCATGAAGTCTAGCACAAACTATTTTTCATTTGTTTCAAGAAAAATATTCTTATATTGCTTAAGTTCTTCTAATATCTTTTCCAACTTCATATAAAACTTTGTGTTGTCTCCAACAACTCAATGAGCAAAACAGATTTAATTTATAGATTTTCTTTTTTTTTTTTTTACAATTTCAATACTTATCTCTGCCATGAAAGTTAAAATGTCTCATAAATCTATTGGATCCTGAGGACAGTTCTAAGTTTGAACAAAAATAAAAACAGCAGTAAATACAGTGGCTTGCAAAGCTATTTATGACCCTTGCACATCTCAATATTACAACCGAAAAATAGCACATTTCATTTAAGGTTTTATTTAATAAAGTAGAGAAGTGGAGGAAAAATTATGCATGACACCCCTAAATAAAATAAAGTGCCACCAACCACCTAACCTGTTTTAATTCAATACATCAGCCAAAACTGAAAAAAAAAAATACCCCAAAATCTTTTCTCCAAATGGTAAAACCGTGTGAGCCCGGCAACTAACAAACCGTCTACATTGTGAAATATGGTGCAGGCAGGATTATGCTTTGGGGATGGTTGTCTTCTGCAGGACTGTAGAAGCTGCTCATAGTGAAAGGGAAGTGGAATGGAGCTAAATGAAGGGCAATGGTTGAAAAAAAAAAAAACAAACAAAAAAAAACAAAACATTTTTTTAGCACCTGCAAAAAACTTGAGGTTCAAGTGGAAGTTCACCTTTCAGCAAGACAACAACCCTCAACATAAATCCACAACGACAAAGCAATCTTAAGACGTTATAATAAATCTGTCCTTCGAACTTCCATTAAAAGTTAAGAGTATCAAACCAACAGTTCAATTGAAAATTGATCCTCAAGACACTGTTTAAAAATGCATGGCAAATGTCTAGATTTTTATTTACAAAATATTAAAGACATGCATAATTTTTCCTCCACTTCTTTTTATTTGTTGCTGCTTTAAGTTGGCTGATCACACAAAATAATAAATTAAAAAAGGGTTTTGGTTCCAATGTGACAAAATGGGACAATATTTACAGAGTATGACTGTTTTAGCAAAGCATTTTTGACATCAATCTCATTGGTTTATAGAAGACTGTGTGATGAACATTAAACAGATGTGTGTCACAAACATGTTGACCAGCAGACTGAGAACTGGATATGCGGGTAAAGTTGATATGTAGTGTTTGCCCCTTTACGGACCTTACTTTGGGAAAAAAAACAATAAAACAAACCAAAAGGCACTTGATTAACAGTATCATCGTGAAAACACTAGAGAAAATGTAAATAAGACCTTCAGTTGAGATGTGTGTGGATGTTGTGGATGATCTGTCTGGATCGATAAATAGATCTGACCGAGACCCGTTGAACCGGGTACAAAGCTGAGACAGTACATAATGGGACGACACAGGAGCGGCAGGATGGGGCGGATCTGAGCCTATTTGTACCTGGAGGAGTAATACTCTTCCTCTAGCTCATAGAGGTCGATAGCGATCTCATCTCGGAGCGACGTCAGCTTCTTGTCACACTCGTCTTGCAGTGCACGGAGCTGCTGGTTCTGCTGACTGATGGCATCGTTCACCGAGGGAAAGTCATTGAGGATCAGGAACTGTTTCAGATCGGACACCAGTTTCATCAGGGACTCGCCGGCACGAACCTAGTGCAGCAAAACAGAATGAAAAACATAAACTACATGGCCAATCCTTTAAGGTTTATTTTCTGGAGACAAAGTTTTCTGTACATGTATCGGTTGAGGATTTGTAAATTCACAACATAACCAACTATCCTTACCAGAAAAGTACATTTTGACCCGCTTTGTATTTTTCTTATATGCTTTCTGTGTCCAAAATGCTATTTTTGAAATGCTACATGCAATGAATGTTGCTGTGATTTGAATTTCTTTTCATATACTTCTTTTGCATTTACTAGCAACTTAAGACAAAGTTGCCCCGCAAAGGCATGAACACCCCAGGAACTTTTTTCATCTTTAATTCTTCTCGTTTACAGAGGAAGCAGATGGTTTTGTGTCAGTGACGCTTTGCGTCTCACTCACGATGTTTGCAGCTCTGACGTGCATCTCGTAGTGGTCTTGCTCTGCCTGAGTGGGTCGCGACACCTGAGTCTCATCCTCGATCTGGACGAAAACACGAGGAGGAGGGTGGAAACTGTGAGAGTGATGCTGTGAACTCTGAGCAGATTTTACTGCCGTGGAAGAAAAATACGTGTTTAGAGAAACCAGAGAGCTGCCTTTGCGGTTTTGACGATTTCCGTGAAGTTGTCCATGATGGACTTGATGTCGTCTTTGAGCCTCTTGTTGTAGTTCTGCAGCAGAGTCTCCTTGCTCTGAGGGAGAACTCTCTGGGTCGCCATGACGCTCAGCAGCACCAGCTGCGCCCGTTTACGTTCAAGCACCGAGAAATAACTGAAAAACAGACTGGAAGCTTTCAGTCTCTAACAGAAAAACCACATGACGACATTAACACAGAACTTTTGTTTTTTTAGTACGAATGTTTATTCATACGAGAGCCAACTGCAGATATTACTTACTTCTTCAATGCATTCTCAGAAGCTTTGTTTCATTGAAAACCCCGTTTTTGTTGCTCCTCGTCTTCTTCTTGAAGCTGTTGGCAAGTCACATCCGGTGTGTTTGTGTGTGTTGGCGCCCTCTAGAGGAAGGTCAGGCGAAGTTCTACCCGTGAGAAAGAGTCAAGTTTGCTTAAAAATTAAAGCGCATTATAACTAGGGCTTAACTGCCTGACGTCATTAAAGTCTTCTTTTAACCAAACAGCCTCAATATTGCTGAAGTATTGAGACGCCTTTAAATAACCGAAAGGCAAAAGTGCCAAAGTTCAATAAACAAATTGGTCAACAAATAATTTAGCATGCAATAATATAAATGCATTTGTAATTATGTGTATTAAGTAAAATCTATTATACTTTACATATTGCACTGATATACAGGTACACACGTCACAAGTACAAATTCAGTTGAAAAAGTATTTAAAAACAGACGCTTCCTTAAACTGTTTGAAACAAATTTAATTACCCTGGAACACTGCAAGGTGTGCAGGTTCAGTGCTGTTTTGAGATTTGAAGAACGAGATCACGGATACCAGCGGCCGAAATGGGTTTTCTCTGCAGGGTGGCTGGGCTCTCCCTTAGGGATAGGATGAGCATCTGGAAGGGATTCAGAATAGAGCCGTTGCTCCTCTGCATTGAGAGGAACCAGTTAAGGTAGCTCGGGCATCTGGTCAGGATACCTCCTGGACGCCTCCTCGATGAGGTGTGTGTGTGTGTGTGTGTGTGTGTGTGTGTGTGAGAGAGAGAGAGAGAGAGAGAGAGAGAGAGAGAGAGAGAGAGAGAGAGAGAGAGAGAGAGAGAGAGAGAGAGAGAGTGTGAGTGAGTGAGTGAGTGAGTGAGTGAGTGAGTGAGTGAGTGAGTGAGTGAGTGAGTGAGTGAGTGAGTGAGTGAGTGAGTGAGTGAGTGGATATTTTTTGGCATGAAATTGGATTTTCTTGATTGATCAATTGGGCTTTGGAAGTGACACTTGACTAATTTTAACTAAAGTGTTAGAACATAAATACTTGACAACCGGCATAAAACATAGAAAGAAAAGCAACGTGCGCACACTTTCATGTACATTCATTTAATATTTTGTTGTTTATGACATTTTTAAAGGCAGGCTGTACAGCATAACAAGTATTCTGAGTGCTTTTTTTATTCTCCAACAGGATTTTCTGCTCTTCCTTCTGAGGTTAGGTGTTCAACAGCACTCAAAAGTCATTTTACAGCTGACAGAACACATTCTTACAGAACCCTGACTCTGTGTCAGTTACTTTGTGCAATCTTCCTGTGTTTAGGCTGAGTGAGACTGTGTGGGGAGAACTTCAAACAGAGAAACACAAGTTATCCTTTGGGTTGAAACAGCATGGATTCCCTCTCCAAAAAAGTGCCATGGTGGGAAACAATTAGTGTAAAAGATTGCATAAACTAGAAAAACCACAAAATATTGTCTAACAGTGAATGATATAAATTAAACGACACGTCGTCAATCAGGCACTACTCAAGCTCTCATACAACACTTGTTACAATCCCTGGCTGGAATTACAAAGATTAAGTGCTGAAGACAGTCAAATATTTTCACGTCAGTTTTACAGACTTGCATGTGTCAGTTTGTGCACATTTTGGAAGTAATAGATTTGTTTCATATCGTGTTACGTTATGATGTTATGCACCAAAGACAGTAGTAGCATTTGGTACTGAAAGCAAGTGCAATCAAATGTGAAAGCAGCTTTAAGATGGGCAAAACATGTTTCATGCAGCATTTTCAAATGTGTTGAAAATGTTTGGGTTTTTTTTGTTTTGAGAACCCACATAAAGACGTTTGTGATCTGCTTCATTGAATCTTAGCTGTAAAATCAGAGCTACATACATCTCACTATCAAACAACAAAGGAAAAAAAAAGGAAATAGTTTAGATAAAAAGCCAAATTACATCAAGAGATTTTATGTCAAAAAAACAATGGAAATGTTTGTTTTGTCTATTTTCCAGCATCCACTTCATTAACAAGTCAAGTAAGATTAAAAAGGCCCTTAAAACAGACATTTAGATGGTTTGTACATTTTCTAATGATGCAATCTGTTTTCAACTGCATGTTAAGCTTCTGTGAAATTATGACGCCGACTCGTTTCCCTCTGATAACAACTGCATGGGGTGCTAACAGATCACAGTTTTACAGTCAATCTTAAATGTGCAGAAAAGAATTTTGCAAACGCTTCTGCACACACTCCCTCACAACCTGAGGTAGACAGGAAAACAATCAAATGGTTGACCCACCATTGTTTTTAGTGTAGAAGCACACTGGGATGAAAGATAACTGAAGGGTCAGGGAAGGAAAACTCGCACTACCGGATCTCATTTTAGCAAGTTGAGGTTGAGATCTGTTCAAGGCCTGCAGTCCAGCTGCAGCACTGGTGACAGCATGCAGTAAAGCCAGTTGCAGTTTGCATAATTAATGGGTGCAAATTTCTGCTACATTGCTACCTCAGTGTGTGTTCAGGGCTTTTCTTGCGGTGCTTTGAGGTGAAAGGGTGCAGATACGAACGGGTCTACAGCATTAACTTCTGACGTCCATGATTGAAGCGGTCCGCTAGCTTGCCTGCTCAAACTGGGAGTTGCTACCGTCTGCTCGGCTGAGGATCCTTCAAAGTGTCGGGAATATTTGGCCAGAGCTTGAGGGCGGAACGGTTGCTGAGCAACCTGTCCCAGCACTCCTTGATCGGACGCTAGCGTCTGACCCCCAGCTGCTTGGGGGTACAAGGTCTTTGGCAGCGCAGCCAAGACCTCTTTTCTTTTTCCAAAGGGAGCCTGAGAGAACACATCGAGCTGATGCTGAGCTACAAAAGGGGCACGTGGAAATGGAGCATTGGCAAAGACATCAGCGGAGTCCTCTTGCGAAGACGGGAAGGGGGCTTTGGAGAAGACGTCTGGAGTGACACCCGTCTCTGCTACATTCCAGGAATTATTCTGAGCAAAGGAGCTTGACGTCAATTGACGGAAGGCGGCAGGTGGTTGTGCTGGTGCTGTGTTGGGGGGCAGGGATGAATGAGGAGCCACCAGAGGTCCATGCTCTTCTTCATCTTCAGAGTCCATCAGGAGAGGTCTAGAGCCGCTGCAGTCCTGAACAGCAACGATACTCTCGACTGCTCTCCCCTCCTGCTCCTCTTTAAGTTCTGCCTCCTCCTCGTCTTCATCGCTGGAGTGCTCACAGCCTTCATTATTTGGATCATTTTCTTCAACCTCTTCAGCCTCCTGTCCCTCTTCGAGCACAGTGTAGCCATTACTTTCCACTTGCACTTCTATCCGACAAAGACACAAAAGAAGAAAGAGAAAAATTACATCATACAAACATCAACAGAAAGTAACAAGCCGAACATTTTGTCAACCACACCAACAGCCTTTTAGAGTTACTTCACACCTGTGACCAACAAATCCTCTCTACACATCTGTCAATTATGGATCAAGAGGACGGAACGATGACGAACCAGCACAAGACTACAAAATAAACTCTACTATGAGGAACAAGCCACATAGGACAGACAAGTTTAGCAACTATGCTATCAAAAGTCTTGTTTCCACAATTTAGCTGCGGGTCTGTAAATCTAACCCTTCTAAACCATGTCAGGGATAAAGCAGTATTTGGAAATTTTAGTAAGAATTGTTTAAAATGTGAGGAGTTTAGATGGAGTTAGCAAGTCTGTGGAAACAAGTGGGGAAAATCGTCACAGATAAGCTGAAAATAGGGACAGACAGGTTAGAACAGATTAGTGGAGGGAGGCGAGTCTTACCTCAGAGGTGTTGGCAGAAGGTGTTAGCTGGTAGTTCTCACAGAGATGTTAGTTGAAGCCATTGAAAGAAAAATACTTGTTTTTTTTTATTGCTCTATTTTATAATGCTGCAGTTGCTTTCTAATGCAACACATTTGCACTGATCACAGCCCAAGTTATTGAGCTGTGATGAATAACAGCCCAATGATGATATTTTTTATTATTATTAAAGACCCCATCAATTTTGGGACTTTATTTCTGGTCAACAATTTACTACACATGTAATATTTTAGTGAAAAAGTAATTTTTGAGGGAAATAATTTTTACATTTGCAATATTGAAAGAAATACATAGTTTATTTTTTTTTTATTTTGACAGGGGTTTTATTTTCTTAAAGAGACCTATCAATGTAGATTTGGGTACAGTCAGATCTGTTTTTGAGTACAAGTCGCTAGGTATTTCTGGTCCTATTTACTATGAAATTAAAAAGAAATCAAAAAGCATCATTTTTAAAGAATGTAAACTTTGTGTTCATAATTTCTATTTTCACATTTCAATACGTTCAGCAGTTTCTTTCTCCATTTACAAAAAAGAACAGTCTCTGGAGATTTAGTGCCATGCTACATTTTTAACATTCTTAAATTGTAGTCAGGAGCCACACATAATCAGTGCTGGGGCCACAAACTGCCCCTGGGCAGGACTTCGGACACCTCTGTTTTAAAGCATTCCACAGCACCAGGAAAAGATTTTCTAATATTTTGAAAAAGATTCACTATAAAAACTCATGTGACACAGCTACCATGTGACAAAAAAGAAACATTGACAGATTTGTAGCAACTAATGTAATAATGGCCAAGACCATTTTAGAGATAATTTATTATGGTGTAATTTCCAAAAAGATATCACTTATAATGACTTATTAACCAGAGTGTGGTGCTTTTCAACATAGAGAGTGAATTGACACATTATTCAATTTTTTTTGTTCCTTTTTCATCTAACCCTGAACAAACACGCAATCATTTTTCTGAATTCCAGCACAGGCCAAGTATTGCAACTAAGACATGTAGTAATATTCCTACATATAAAATAAGAATTTAAAGCAATATTGTAGATTAAGATTTTGTACAACAAATAAATCTTAAATCAGCTTTTACAAAATCAATGATAGAGCGGAGAGTACTTTATATTAAATACCTTGACTGAATATGCTACAAGAAAATTGCAATTTATGATGTACAAAAACTGCAGAAAGTGTTAGTTTTAAAACATGAGGCCTTACTTCTGTGTTATTACATTACTGGCTAAAGAGGCTACATTTACAGAGGATTTTTTTTAATACTACTGATTGGTACTAATAAAAATGATGCCGTAACTTTTTAAAATTATTGGTAATGTTATTTGCCTTATTACATTTCCAATAGCTCAGTTTATTACTTAACATCATCATAATTACCTATTTAGGTAGTGGTTGCTACAATGTCAAAGTTTTACAAAAACTGGGAATCATAAATCTCAAAATTCTGATTAGTGCATCTCTAGGTATAAAATGATTGAATAATACAGTTCCAAAGGGTGTTAATTCCCTTTCTAATTCTTAACCATGTGACTTTCAGTGAATGAAAGCAATTAGACTTGATTTCTTAAAGAGATTTATGCATAAACCATTAACTGTAGCAGTGATGGCAAAACAGAAGGAAATGTGCAGTTCAAGGTTAAGTGCAAGGTCAAACTACGCTTAAAAATAAGCTTACAATAGACAGCAATGCAGTTAAACTTCCTTGACAAAATAAAAGCCCTAATTCAAAGTAGAACTTGGTGGAATCTTTACATATAGCAACATAAACTGCAATGATTGTCAGCAAATGTAATGCATTTTTTTGTACAGCTGCCATTCAACTTTCTCTCATTATTTGATCAATAAAAACAGGCAGTCATGAGGAACCAAAGGTGCTCCAGAGACATCAGGAAGAACACTCCGTCATAACATCTCTTATAGCACAATCTGCCGTCACTATAACAGTAACATATCAATGGTACAATAGGAACAAAGTGCTAAAAATATGATCTGGGCAGACAACTCAGAAGCACACCATTTCATGTATTAAGTGCATAAACATCGAAAGCTCTGGCTGAATAATCGACATGAATGGAGAGAAATAAACAGCGGAAAATTTAACAGGCTAGGTCATCATTTACACTTTTAAATACACTGTAATTAATGTGTGTTTAATCTAAGTAAATTGTTCAACATGTTAAATGATGAGATCGCTCATACAGGTTTTACTAAATTCCTATGATTATTATTCACACTATGACCGATAAAATGCCTTTAAATAATATACAACAACCTAAAATCAAAAGGGCTAAAAATAGTGAAATTGAGCAATAGGATATTTTTGCACTGAAGTTAGACATATAAATGAGTAAGGAAGAGGGAATTGAGCAAGAGCATGGTAGGTCATTGTTGTTAATATGGTTACCCCACAGAAAACAAACATTTGATGGTATCTACACTAAACCTCCTTCAGTGTCAGGATGATTACTGAAAAAGTCTGCTCACTCATACTGACCCTGAGAGCAGAACGTTACATCGCTAACAGCAGGATTACAAAATCTCATTTCACTTTGGTTCTCGTCTGTTCACATTAGTGCTATAGGAGTTGTAAAATTTAAAAATACAAATGAAAATGCACCAGTTTGAGTAATACACATATGTGGTGTTATGAAAAAGGCTGATATCTTTGCGTCAAACTAGTCAGCCAAAGTTCAAACGTTTCATGTTTTAAAAAGCAAAAGATCATAACCATTATTGTTGTAGTTTTAACATTTGTAACACCCTTCATGATATTCAGAAAAAGAAATCTGCACACACCTACTTATACAGTGCATTGGAAAAGCATTTATACCACATTCTGACATGTTAAAACCACAAGTTTCTATGTATTGTGTTGGGATTTTATGTGATGAACCAGCACAAAGTAGCGAACAAACAGAAAGGTTCAAGTCAAATCAATCAAATTTTAAAAATATGACTGATACCAACATTTGACCCAAATGTTGGTATCAGTCATATTTTTAAAAAATTATTTTGACTCAATTTAACAGCTAAGTTACTTCTGATGCCAAGTGCCTCAATTCTTAGTTAAGTGATTAAAGAAAAAAAACTGAACACTGAATCCTTTTAAATTTACTTCAATAAAGACACAACTTTGGACTGGTGTATCATATAAAATCCCCCTAAAAATACACTGAAAGTTGTTTGCTATATGAACAAAAAATTGACATATTAAAGGTATAGAAATACTTTTGCAAGGCACTATAACCTACCTGAACGTGAAAGATGCACATGGGAATAGCAGCACAGGACTGAATGGATATAAATTCCTAAGGCTATATGTTCTGTAATCCAATTGAAGCTGTTTCCACACAATGGGTTAAATTAACTAAAACAAATGCCCTTTTGTATTGCTCAAAAAAAAAATCTTGTTCAATGCAGCAGTAAATGATTGAGTGGTTCCTTAATGTTCCATCTTGTTTGATCCAGTCCAAATCTTTCAAAATAAAGACTCCACCATGGTATTCATAAGGTCTACATCATTCTCAATTTCACTTCTTCAACGACCTCTTGACATGCAGGAATGTTCCTGACAGTTCTTTCAAGATTTAACCATGATAACGAACAAAACACACCAAGGACCTGTGACCAAGCAGTGCTTGCTGTGACAGTCAATCACCATGGGTATAAAAAATAAAAAAATCAATGAGGGACGTTATTGCAAGAACAAGGAAGCATGAAAAAACAAAAAAAGACCATGGTGAAGCCAGGACGGAAGCAGATGATATTCTCAGCCATTAACAGAAAAGGAAAAAAAATAAAATACCAGCGTGGAAATGTCAACGGCCAGCAGAGATGCATGAAACCAGCTTATCACGCTGCTAGAGATGGAGTTGAGGCCAAGGAGGCACATAAACAGAATGGCTCTATTGAACCAATCCATGCTGGCTTTTCCTCACTTCAAAAGGTTGATACAGCAAGTGCCTGTCTCTCCAACACCCTTTTTATTTGTTTCATTTTGTTTTTAGGATTGCATTCTGCCCTTTCGACCTCTCCCACCCCTCTAGAGGTCGATGAGCTGATCCACCAGCAGAAGGGAGCGCGCCAAGTTGGGGATGCTGGACTCTGAACTGCCACTGTTGCTGTGAGAGTGACCACCTGAAAAACGTGCCAGAAAGAAAGAGAGGAGACAGAGATGGACATGGAGGAGCCGAGGGAGGTTTTGAAAGACAAGCAAAAGAAAGAGTCAATAAAAGTGGATCGTATGAAGGAAATTATGAGTAAGAACATGAGGATGAGGATGAAGGAAAATCATGGCAGAACAGAAAGGAAAAAAAAAAGTATGAACAGAGGCAGAGAGAGAAAGAAGCAAAGAATAAGCTGGGGTCATGTTTATACAGCTGCATCATCATAGGTGAGTGTAAGGACTTTCCGCTCTAATATGAAGCGAGTCTTGAGATGAATTACACAGAGCCAATACACCTTCAAATCGGGAAACAATGGCAGTTTAACATTCGGGATGAAAGAAAGAAAAGAGGTGAAAGTTTGATGAGCAGTGGGTTGGGGGGCCTTGATGTGACAAACACACCCTCATGATCACTATTACAAGCTGGAGTGAGTTAACTAGGGATCAGCTCATTCGTCTTTGTGGTCTTACCAGGTGTGAGTGAAATCCCTGAATTTCTTTATAACTTACCTTGATTTGAGTTTTTGGGAATAAGCACAGGAATGGGGTCAAACTCTTCATCATTGCCCTTTTTCCCACCAGACAAGAGGAAAGAGTCTGTGGCGAAGGAAGAAGAAGTGAGGTAGAAATGGAAGGAGGAAATGGTTAATTCAGAGAGGGAAGACAAGCCAGGAAAAAAGTAGTGTGTGGAAATAAAGAGAGACAGATGATGTAGAAGTCAGTCTGAGAATCAAAAGTTTCACAGCTTTGAGAGTGTCAACAAAGAAGCCAAGGTTCCTGAGGGTGTTATCCACTCTACTATCTATGACACATACCTAAGTTACTGCTTTCTTTGCTTTCTGAGGTACTTAAGTGACAGGCTCACACACCCAGCACACACTCAGTTGCAAAACTAAGAGCTTACCGGCAGCCTGACTGGGTTGCAGATCCTCCAGACAGGATCCGGAGCCACAGCCAGGGGGGCCAGAAGAGAAGGAGGAAGGGAGCGCTGAAACAGGCTGGCTTCCAGCAGAAGTATGAGTTAGCAAATCACAGCCCAGCAGAGATGCCTCCCCAGTGAAAGAATCTGAAGCATAGCCAAAGCACCAACGGAAAATCAACATGTTAGAACAGCAAAGAAAGATGCAGTCGGTTAGTAAAGCAACAAAACAGAGCAACACAGCAGAAATGAGTTCAAAAAAATATTAATGTTTGCTTTGACTAAATATTGAATGCTGAATTTTCTAGATTTGAGGAAACAAAAAGTAATCATCTTTACCTTTTGATAACCAAAAAGTAAAGATGAACAAATCAGGTTGATTTTTGATCCTTGTTTTGGTGATTTTGGCAAATTAAACTATTCTTTAAGGACAATTTGAAGAACAGCATTCAAACATGTTTTAGCCTGCCTGCAGTCACTGACGATTTAATAGCTACATTAGCAGCTGAAGTGATTTAGCATCTTTTAGTAGGAATCAACATGGTTAGCAAGAATGCCCAAAGAAACAGTCTCCATTTATCCCAAGAGAAAACAGGTCTTTGGCTCAACTCTGAATACTGTCCAAAAGGATACCATCATTTTCTAAAAGTTCAGTCTGCAACAGAAGTAGACTACTCCTAACAAATAAAACAGAGTAACTGTCGCCTTCCTGTAATCTGCTACATGACACAGTCAGCATTCATCAGCAGAAAAAATAGCTTCTTCAATTTTGTTTCTTTTCACTTCACTTTTAAGGATCTCCAAGACAGCATACAAGATAGCAAATCTATCTTGTATTTTTCACATTAAAAATGTTGTTGTCAGCAAGACCTATTTGTACTTGCATATGATGTGTTCTATGCTCAGAAAAAGATTGGATTTTTGACTCACTGAGACTCACCAACCAGGCTAAATAAGCAGATTTTCATCATCAGCCAATATCTCAGAGCATCTCTTCCAAAAGTAGCGTGCCACACTAAAGCACCCATTCTGTCCAGAGCCCAGAGCCAAACATCACTGCTAACAACATTTTTTCCCCAACAGCTTCGTAATCTTATATCCTGACTAAAGATCAGCCTCAGATAATTCAATCTCACAAGTTATAGTTATTATTTTTTATCTGTGGTCCAGAATGCTGACCTGGCATGCTGGCAGCAATACGTTCTGGCTGACCTGAATGGTGCTGAGGCTGAGGAGCTTCCAAACCAGGAATCAAGGAATCCACACACACCTCAGCCTTTGCTACACCAACACAGAAAAAATGATTGTTAGTAATAGACATGAAAACATAAATGCAGTTTGGCCTCATTTCCTTTGAAACTCATAGGAGAAGCTAAGAACACATTCAAATGTGTTTCAGTGGCCTAAGATGTGAAATTTGGAGGAAATGCATGAGGACAGTAGCATAAAACTTTCTGCAAAAGTACTAAAGGAGCCACAGAAAAGGGTAAAATGTCAGGAAGCAGCAGAGAAAACTCAGTAGACTTCAGTCCCTGTAACACTTTCTAAATGAGTGAGAGACAGAAAATAGGGCCTGGTGAGGGAGCAGAGACAGCCAATGGCTGGGTGGGGAATTTCCAGTAAGTTCAGTTGGAAAGTTAATGCAACATGATATGTGTATGGGCCTGTTACTAGTTATGATGCATACTGGCGTTTTAAATACTTTCCATTATAGTGGACTTTTTAATAAAGTCTGAATTGCTTAGACTTTATTAAAGTAATGGCAAGACATTACACATCTATAGATAACTAAGAGAAGATAAGCAATACTTTTTTTTGTTTAATTTTCAGCTAAAATTGAAGTTACAGCCACAAAACTAGCATAATCTTATCCTGAAATGTCTCTGGAAAATAACAAAAAAAAAAAAAGCTTACAAAGATTAGTGGCAAACTTAAAAATCCAAATGTAAGCAAAGCAGTTTTACATTTATGCTTCACTTTTTCAAGTGGATCTCAGTGTCTAATTACTTTTCAATTAGTTGTCCAGTACTTTCTGTCTTCCTGGAGTATTAGTATGACAAAAGCCCACCTCTTCTTCTGTCAAAGCGAAGAAAAGATGACAATCCACTAAATACATATGAGATGATCTGCAAATCACTGAGTAATAGCAGTCCTACAGAACAAGTTTGTATTTACAGTCGGAGCAAAATTTAAACGGCTAAGGTGGGCATAAGGTGGCTCCGAGACGCTGTTAGAGGGAGCTGGCTGACTGCATCAGGACCCGCTTTATGGGAAGAAAGTCCTCGTCAGCCACTTTTATCAAATTTGAATCCAAAACAGCTGAACCTTAAAGTACAGTTTGCAGAAAGAGAGTGTTTCCTGATTTAACCGAAGCTCTCAGCTGTGCTCATATGGCTAATATAACACTTAATGCAAATAGGAAGCATTTCATCCATGCCTCCATATGCGACAGTCGCAGTGTGTCCTGGCATGGCTCATTTATTCTAATCAACAGCACGGCTGAGAACAAATGACCAGCTGGCTCTGTATGGGATGGGTTCTTGGTGAGTAAATTCATTTAAATGTTAGTATCAGTAAGTACAGACGGCCACAAAATTTAGATTTTCAAGTAGTCTGAATAACATTTAAGACATCCATTAGTCTTAATTGAAAACTTTAGTGCACAGCTGTAAAAAATACATTCTCTTAATTGATTTAGTTCAAGTCAACACTGCCACACACTACACAACAGTTAGTAATGCTGTCCATTCAAATGGCAAAATAATGCTATGCTGAAAAAATGAGGGCACCAAATCTCTTTCTCCAAACCTTGTACTAAACATATTTTAGCACAATTCCTTTATATAAAAAGATTTAATCCTAGTAATGACACTTCATCACAAGAACTTACAGTAAAATTTGTTAAGATAGCTTGCCATGTCACATACAATAGTTTTAAATCTGGTGATTTAAAACGTATGTTATCAGGACAACACAAACCGAAGTGGGGTGTAATCCATGCACAAAACCACCAATCAGTCGCTGCTGCTCATACTTACAATTAAAGTGCTATGAGTCAAAATGGGGTGTGGAAGAGACCTTAACACAAGGAATGTGTTGACTCAGGAAATGACACAGCAGATGTGACCTTTTCCTGCCCTGACTACGAGGAAAAAAAGGCCAAAATGTATCAAAAGGTTTACACAAATCTTTGAGTTGTAAAAAATAAAGATGCTGGAAATAAAGTTTTTTTTTTTCCTATTTTTTGTGTATTGACAAGTGCTTCATAAAACTAGTCAGAGAATGTCTGCCTCATCAACAAATATAAGATGGTGACTGGTAGCTGAGTAAACATTAATGTGAATCTAACAGGAGAGGGTGTGAAAGATTAAACACAGCCTCTTTGCATAGAACAAAATTACTTTGAACTTGTACAAAGTAGTTCAAACATTCAACAATGATTACTGCTCAAAGGTTAATCTATGGAGAGCCTCACATGCTGGATCATCACTTTAACATGACAGTATAATTAACTTTCACTTGTTCTTCGTGGCTCTTCTGGTAAGCCCTCTTCCTGCAGTAAAGCAATCCAATTAACAACAGGGAATTTGTCCTGCGCGTTGCCATGCAACAGTGAAAGCGCAGAGCTGCATGTGAGATGCCATCGAGCTGCATCTAAGGTGTCTATTCATGGACATGGACAAGAAGCCACTGTGAGGATGTGAGCTGCGTCAACATGATAGCACGATGTGCAAACTTCACTGCTCCTGTTTTGGTGTGGGCAGTTTGCGTTAAGTTTATCTTAAGTGGAATGATTAGATGAAACAAAAACCTAATTCAAATTAATTCAATTAGAAAAAAAATAAATTGCATTATGTTTTATTTAAGTTTGATATAAAATGACCTGGTAGGATAATTTCAACCACTTTATAATTAGTTCCAGGGAAAGATTTAAAATAGTCAGAGAAGCTAATAATGCTAATTCCACAGCTAATATATATATGCTGTCATTCTGATGGAATAAGAGCAGCAGAATAATTTTCTTTAACAGGGAGTGGTGCATTAAGTCATTATTTACCTCCAAGGAAAATACATAAATATACATAAAATGGACATTACATGCAAGGATGCTCCTGCTAATAAAAACCAAATATGCAAATTTGTCAAATCACCCAAAACTTAAAATAAAGTTTCAAAGCCCCTAATAGAGTCCATCTCCTAAAAACTATTCAACTATGATTGTTTTGCTCGTCAAGGAATGGCAGCAAGGAGGTTTAAGTGTTTCGGCAAATACAATGAAGTGGAAACTTTCATAATATGCTGGAATGTTACGAAGAACCAGGAAGAACCAGGATTGACCATCGTTTTCTCTAATTAAGCTCCATGCAGAACATTTTAACAGTCTCTTACAACCTTGCATAAACAATGCCATAAATTAAAAGTGGAATCCAAACATACTCTAAGAGCAACTGTATACAATAACTCCGATTTGGTGATGGATACAGGTGTTTCCACCATGGAACACAGCATCACAGGGCAAAAGGTGATCACCAAGTACCTCTGGGTTTATAATATTGACAGCTGGGTCTATTCCAAGGAACTCCCCAAGCCTTAATTCCAATAAAACCTGTTACGTTTTCAGAAATGTGGTGCATTTCTAGATAAAAGTATTTGAAGTTCATATATTAATTCATTTTGAATAAAAAACAACAATCCAACATTGGAGTAACAGTAAAGTCTGTGAAAAACAATGTTTCTGGCGGTCTTAAAACTTTACACCACACTGTACAATATTTATGTCCAAAAGTCAGAGGGAATCAAAGACCTGATACATTCTGATTTTGCTTTTAGAAACAAGAAATAAAACAGGACAGTGAGCAGAACCAGAGCCTTATGTTAAAAAATGTGAGTAAATAAAACTGTAGGAAAACAAATGACTGAGAGGTGCAACTAAATGAGTTTATATCAAACTGTCATTAAAAAAAAAACAACAACAGCGCAAATGAGCAACAAAATTGCTACACATCACCTCTGGCAAAGCCACTTAATACTGCTGGAGACACAGACCCATTCACAGTCAAATCTCAAAGAAGACTTTTGGGTAAAATAATGTAGTAATTGGACAGCTTAGAGAAGACAACTGTAACATTTTACCTGGAAAAGCCCCAAGCTCTGGAATGAGACTTTCACTGGATGTGAGGTCTATTTCACCAGGCTGAGCAGCTGTGCAGAAACAATACTGTGTTTTAGACTAATGACAACCAGTAGATGTACATGCTGCAGTACAAAACTTACACTCAGATAGCTTTGCAAAGTCTTTGTTGAGTAGCTCCTCTGCAGTTAGCTTGGAGAAGTTATCATCTCCAAAGGGGTTCCAGCCAGGCTGAGGATTCGGTGCAGCGAGCGCTGATGGAGCGTCACCACCTGGATGATACACATTCTGCTGGGACGAGCAGGGGGAGCCAGAAGGAGTGGTGCTGGCTGATCTGGAACGTAAACATGTTTAAATACATGAGGCTAAACAAGCAAAGTGAAACTGGATAGAAGGTATAGAGTGTTTGTGTGTGCCAGTCACTAAGCGAGCTTAAAGACTGAATTAACTGGTGCTACTGAAGCCCAATTCTTTTGGGTGTAAAAAGGGACATTTATCTTACTGTTGCGTTCTGCCGTATGAATGAACTCCCTCTGCCCTCCCAGACTCGCTCTACACTATGAAAAGAACTCTTTATTCCTGGATTGCTGAAAAGAGTTGATTCTGCTTACTTGGACTTGTTGAGGCTGGCCTCAGCTGCGGCTGCCTGGAGCAGCTGGGTGGATTTGCTGACTGGGACTCCAAAGATGGCACTGTGGGTGACATCGCTCAGGATTCGCCTGTGGCCGCTTTTTGGAGCCATCTTTGGTGATGAAGGAGGTGTCAAGGAGCCAACTTTGCGCATCTCTCTGCCTAGAGTCTGCAACGAGAAGCAAATTACGCAGAAGGTCAGGCTCAAAAAGGCAACACAAAATTTTCCATCAACTTGGAAAGCAAAACAGAATCTAACCCCAGACATAAAACAAAGTTAGAGGAAAAATAAGGGAAGTAAGTGGAGGAAATAAATCAAATCAACAAAATCATGCTGTGAAATTAAATCACTTCTGGGGAGAAGAATAAGTTGCTTACTTTCAGTTAATTAAATGAACCAATAAAGACAAAAAAAGCCACGTGTAGGAAAATAATCCTGCTTTTCAAACTTATGTACATTTTACTTTCATTTGTTTTTCTTCCAATTTATCGTCACTGCACTTTTTTTTTGCTCAGTTTTTTCAGCTGTATGCATTACAAAAAACTGATCAGAAAAAACAGTATGCATTTATGAATTGAAAAACAAGGTATATTATTGTAAAATGTCAGTAGAATGTTAATTAATTAATGAAAAATAAGAGAAAAAAGTTAACTGAAAGTAAACTTATGATTTATAGACAATCCATGTTGAGAAAAACGCTAGAAAAGAAAGCATACAATTTCCCTACAACTTAAACACACTTATTGACACTCAATTTCTGTACATTCACTGCCAAGATGAGGAAGAAAACAGAAAAAAACCAGGATGTGATTTGTTAGAGATGACCTCATAATAATAATAATCAGCCCCGACCCAAAGAGCTGCAAACAGCAGCAGGAGTTCGATGTTACCACAACCTGTGGGGCAGCTGTAGGAGCAATGACTGCAGACTCAGGAATGGGAACAAGATGAGTTGCGGATGGTTCGTGGACTACATGCTGCTGCTGAAGTTGCAGAGTGGAAACTGGGGAAACAGGTTTAGCTTTGGACTGCAGCAGAGCAGATGCATGGGAGGATGTTTGTTGTTGGTGCTGCAGGTTCTGTGGTCAATTGGAATAACCACACAACCAATTAAGAGAAAGGCTTACTGTCACACCATTGTTCATTACTTGTTAAAAAAACAAAGGGAAATTCCAGTTTTACATTGTGGAAGTTATTAATAACTAACCAATATCACACGGAAAAATAAATAGACCACTCCGTTTCCATGGGTTTAAATATTAAGTGTAATTAAAACCAGTTTCATTCGAGCCATGATGCCATAACTGGCAGAACTAATTTTAATCACCAGTAACTTTGGGTGATCCTCTCTGTTTAACGTTATTAATTTAATATTATGAAGGCTTCCACTATTTGTTTTTGACATCAACTTATTCTGCGCGGCTGAACAATATGAGTAAAATGTCATAAATGTTGCAATAATGATACGAGTTGGGATAAGCACATAAATACAAAACTAAACAATGCTAATTTCTTTCTAATTAGGGTTCCTGCAAATATGGACACAGCAAATTCCAGCTACTGGAAAAAAATGCATCTATGATTTACATTTTACCAAATTGGTTTTTGAATAAGCTGAATTTCTCTAGATCCATGTTTGGAAATGAAATATCTTATTTCCCTTGTGAAACATTTTCTGCTGCAATAAACCACAAGCACTACCAAAGGTACCACTGTCATGGTAACATTTAATTAGATACCATTTATTTCAGTTCAAGCTGCTCTTTGCAATTGTAATATTGCAGATATTGATATTGTGATAACACTTTATTTTAGCAGGTAATTACTTATATAATTATGTGTCATATTTACAAAGTTGTGATTAAAAGTTGTTTCAGGGGATATGATCCAGTCAAACTGCATTTTCATTCAGGCAGTGGGAGGACTCCTACCTGCTGGTTATTGTGAGGGATTAGGAAGGGTGAGGCCTGCTGTGTCTTCATGAGGACCTGCTGATGTGCCGTAGGCTGTGGCTGCTTGTTGCTCGTCTGCGTTAGTTGATGAGCAGCCTGTGCAGGTGGAGCTTGCTGTGCAGGTTGAACAGCAGCTGTGGCTGCGGCATTGATTCCTACTGCTCATATGGACAAAAATAATAATAATAATAACTTAAAAAAAGCAAATAGGTCATTCATCTTGTCTTGAGACATGTTGCACAACTACTTAAACTTCCTGTGCGTGTTTAATAGCAGGCTGTGCCCCCAAAAAACTCTTTAAATAGTCTTTATATTTTTCTATATTTTTCTCAATGTTGACAAGAACTAATGACAAAAAGAGCTGTTTTAAGTAAGAATACAATTGTCTAAACTTAATACATCAGATCCAACAAAGTTAGATGCATTTTGAACTTTACCACTACTAAATAGTAGTCTAACCAACAATACAACAAAGCAGTTTGTACCAAAAGCAGGCGGTGTTCCTGTTGCCACATTAGGCCTCTTGCGTGGGGTGAGAGCTGGTTGGATGGGAAGAATGCCTGATAAAGGCTGCGACTGCGGCTGGCCAGCTTTTGGTCGCTGTCGAGGTGCAATAGAGGTTTCTGTAGTTGGAACTGGGTCTGTTAGTCTAGGAGAAAAAAAAGAAAAAAAGAGGGGACATAGTGAGAAAATTGCTTATTCTTTATCCTTTTTCTCAGTTGCTTGGTGTTGATTTGAACACCTTGTGACATGCTTCACAGTGCATGTCAAACAAAAACATAATGGGCTCAACTCTTGCCTTACAGAAAGGTAGATGAGATGTGCTGCAAATCGTTTCAGTTTTAGTTGTAACTAAGCTTATCCAGAAAGAGTAAAAAATAAAACATAAATCAGGTATCAGCAGGGCTACCAAATCTATGATTTTTTTTAGAATAATCACACTGTGTAGCTTCAAATAAAAGTATTTGTGAAAGCCTCCCAGTGTGCTGTTCACAGACAGCTGACAAGTGGATAACATCTGTTATGAAAATTTAAGTAAGGAAGACGCATGTTAGAAAAAAGTGCATAGATCTCCAAAAAGTTCACCATAATAATTCAAAGATTTTTATTTTCTCTCCCACCCACCTAGCTTTGGTTTGACTCTTTTTGGCCACTGCTTCACTGGCTCGGATGGGCTCAGGAAGTTGTGAAGGAATTGGGGAATTCTGTAAAAGACAGACGATGAAAGACAATGAAAGACGATATCACTACCAGAAAACAACGACTGCGTTATGATATGGCTGTGTGCTAATTCTTATTACTGGCTAGGCTCAATCAACACTGTTCATTATTTGCGCTCAATAAAAATTATTAGAGAAAAATAAGCAAAGTTATAAAGCGATTTATCTTTCACTTTATACGCCTGTCATGCTGACTTACGTGCAGATTTGGGACAGGACACTCCTGCCGGGCCAGTTTGAAGGCAAAGTAGGACACTTGGTAAATATCTGGTCTCTTGTCAGGATCGGGTTCCAACATGTATCCTGAGATGTTCACAAACATGAGACGCTGATTTTTAGAAAAGCATATGAACATTCTGGCTAACACACATTTGAGGAGTATCGGACATATTTTATCAGGTTGAAACATGAGGATACTTACTGATGAGACAATGCATTTCCTGGGAGTAACGAGAATTGTCTGGGATAGTGAAGCTACCATCACAGATAGCCACTTGGCTCTCACCAAAAGGAAGCGTAAAGAAGCAGAGTTTATAGAGCAGACAACCCAAAGCCTAAAAAGACAAGACATTCTACTAGAAAGGGCAGCAACATTCAACAAAAGACATAAATCAGGAGATTTTGCCTTGATTTTATCACCAAAAACATTTTTTCCCTTATTTACGAAATGCATAAAAACTAATAACTCCTCCAACTTGGAGTTTTTAACAGCATCAACTGATAAAAAATCTGAGAAAGTATAGGGATGTTTATTTTGAAAGACTAATTATTTTTTTTATTAATTAGTTTTCTATTTGATTCATAACCTCTTAATCAAAAAAATTAAAAAAAATTTTCTTAGATTTTTATGTATTAAAGTTTTTACAATAATAAAGAAGAAATTGTCAAAATTCTTAGGTCAGTGCTAAGAAAGAAATTTAATATTGATATTGGCCAGACATATTTTTATGGTGTCTACTGAAAAGAAAAAAACTTGTAGTTAATTTCCTTCATTATAATAATTTTAAAAAAATACTCAGTTCTTACCCAAATATCTGCTTTTGTTGTGATGAGTTTTCCACCATAAAGGTTGACCATCTCTGGAGCACGGTATGACAGGGTGGTGTATCTAAAGGGGAAAAAAAACACAAAAACTGGCTTTTGGACTCAGTAAAGAAGACAGAAAGGTGTTCATTGAACTTTGAAAGATTGATACTTTTTAATTTCCTCTTCTACGACTGCAACCCCTTCAGTTTGTGGGTTTTGGAAATGATTTGTGGCACTTCCAAAATCACAGAGCACATAGTGCCCCTGGTCATGCAGGAGAATATTTTCCACCTACATGTGGGGGGAAAAAAAGACAATGAAATTATTTTAAAAATGTGAAATGTGACAAAGAACTATAAGCAATTAGTGTGGCTAACAAACAGCCAGCAGCAAGTAGCAAAGGCATATAATTAGTCAAGCTTGCCTTGAGGTCTCGATGGACGATGGGAGTTTTGCATTGATGAAGCCGAGCGACAGCCTCACATGTGTCACAAAAGATCCTCAACACCTCAGCTTCACTGAAGCCGGTCTGTAATCGCTGGTTCATCAGGTTAACCACCTGCCCACCTACAAAAGAAACAGGCCAAGAAGAGCTTTGCTACATAAATGGAAATAAACACACATATTACATTTCTGCTCTCTATAAATCCACATCTTATGAAGTAGCTTGCATTTCTCACTTTGTCACATCTTTGAAGTTTGTAATAATTTTTTGAAGTTTGTAATAATTTTTTGTTCAGATGTAGGGGCAAATCCTTTCATTATTTATTACACTAACTTTGTTTTACAACAGATCTGCTACAGACAGTAAATCTTCATTGAATAAATAAAAAAGAAAACTCCAAACTTTGATCCTGTGCATTTTAAAAACCACATGTAAATATCTAAATTTCTTTATGAAAAACAGCACAGTTAACCACTGAAGGAATGTAAAGCACTGTTGACATGGCTGCTATCAGATACCATGAGCCCCTGAAGGAAATTGACCTTTGAGTTAAACAGAAGCAGAAAGTGATGCAGGTTGTGCAGACTTACCTCGGCAGAAGTCCATTAAGATCAAGACTTCCCACACATCTCCAGCTCCCACAGCTGCTATACTGGAGTCCAGGAAACCAACTATGTTTTTGTTGCCTACCAAGTCTCTCTGTGGGTGAAAAAAAAGCACATGCACACAAAAAACAAAAATGACAAATATTATTTTAATAACTTTTAGAATTTGCACCTAAATAGCTCATTTAGTTGTCCAAAAACCAGAAATAATTCTGATAACCATCCATCGTTAGTCATGATGGGTGTGGCTGCAGGAACTGCGTATTTTCCCCAAGCGGCAAAGGCCTCAACGTTTGATACTGGACGATCAGATAAGCTCAGAAATCAAAAGTTTGGGGTACATTTTGCGTACTGACCAATTCAGACGTGCTCCTCCAATTACGTCTATGCAACAACAGTAAACTGTTTCAAAACCTCAGTGGAGCCAAATGCTGAAAGCAGCCTAATTCCTTTCACAGTTGCTTGCTTTTACTCACCATAATTTGTATCTCAAGTTTGCAGATCCTGAGATCATGTTCATTGTTGACATACATTCGTTTGAGAGCACAACGTTGCCCTTGGTGAGTTCGCACCAAAAACACAATTGCAAAACCTCCTGCAAAAAAGAACAGGAAGAAGATTAAAATGCAATCGACGCCTTTGGTTTTCAAGCCGGTCATGATGCAAATTGGGTTATCAGGTAAGATAGTTGATTCAGAGACACATTTGTGTCCATAGCTTGTTGACTCTTACTGATCAAAAGCAGGTGAAGACTTTGGCACAAAACGTTCCACTTCTGATTTATAAAACCCATGTGAATACCGGTAAATTCCAGTGTAGCGACAAACATTTGCTGATAAATGCTGCTGCTGGAAACAATCGTAAATTAAAAGCCAAAGAAATATTTGATCAATGTGTGATTGGCCTCATGTAGTAAAAGAAAACACAAAACCTAAAATGTAACCTCTCACAATATTAGTTTGTAAAAAACCTGCATGCAAAGTGCATTTCAGTCACATTTTGGATGAACTGGATAAGGTCTTGTTTCTGTCTGGGAGACTTCAGACACATATCAGTGCATCAGGTTGATGCTGCAGAGCATCACATTAAGCTCAACTTTGTGCAGAACAGCACTGACAAAAATAATGTCACACTTTCTCTGGTTTTCCTCCAGCTATTGCAAGCAGACGCATGTCTGTTTTAGTAAATGGTTCACTATCGTACAACCCCGGCTAGGGAAGTACTTGCTTTGAAGTTCTTGATTTTCTTGCTTAAAATGTGGGTCTAGGTTTTGGTACAACTCAATATAGACATTTCTTGGAAAGCAACTTTTTACACCCCTGATCAGTCCTTAAAAAAGAAGAAAAAATAAGTTAGACACAGGAAACAATCGTCTCCTGTGCAAAGTTTTATTCAAGAGATTTAAAGCATAGACTAATTAAATCTCCTTAAAGTTGGTCTTGATTTTGCAGCAGGGCAATTAAATGTTCTGTGCAAATTGTTAGTATGTCATTAAACTCAAGAAGAACAGCAGTCATCCTTCTGAGAAATCCTGAGCTCAGACACAGCTTTCTAAATACATCATCTTAGAAGCTAAGTCTTCGTTTGTAACCAGTCAGCATCTGTAATCTCTAAAGTAAATGGATGAATAAACCAACATATTCCTTGAAGTTCTGCACAGCTAACCACTGAAAGCCAGTCAGACAAAACAGCAAGAGCAAAAAACAAGAATAGCCCAATCTGGAATAACATTAAGACTATTTGCTGCTGAAACAGTCCTGACCCATTGAGACTCCTCTAGATCCAAGTTGGTCCTACAATGTTAGGAACAACTGGCCGTTTACGATATGTCCAGCTGGTGACAGAAATTCATCCTCTATCAACAAGCATTCTCACAGAATTACATCCCTCAACAAATACAGATAAAAAGTGCATAAAAGAGCAGGAAAGAAAGCACATAAACCACATAAAGAGAAAGGAATATTGAGAGCTGTAAAGCAGAAGTGGATCAGAAGTGTTTGTTCAGCCCGTCTAACAGATGCTTGATTCAAAGGGCATCCAGTTTATTGCAATGATGAAAAGATTTTGCCATTTTTCACTTAATCTGCCAGTGGTCTTTATGTTATGCCTGATTGGTGTCATTTATATTATTGAAGTCTGCAGCTTTCACTCAAGTACAGGTATTTTAGCTCTCCAGTTCAATCTTAAGAGTATGCAATTCAAGTCTAAGACAGCACAGCAGCATTGATGATAAATCGTATACATTTGTTGTAACTTCAGAGCTTCAGAATAATTTTTTCTTCACACAGTTTGCGGCAGAGCCATGCCCAACACTGACTCATCCGTCTGGCAACACAAAGCCAAAAACTCTTCCACGTGACCAGGCGGCTTCATGTTTCATTAGCACAGCATGAAGCTACATTTCAGCCATCTGTACTGTCACAGAATTTGGGGGAGTAGAAAGCAAGAGCAATTTTAACAACCTTTTAATAGCACCACTTTGCATGGTTTAGTTTTGAGGAACAACCTGTGATTGGTCTGATTTCAGTGACTGGAAATTTAACAAAAAGATGCAGAAAATTTACACACAGTAGCAACATCAAAAAGAGATATTATTGTGAACTGGGCACAGTAAACATAATAATAGGCCTGGGCCTATAAATAGATAGCATTATAATTCAGATTGTGGTATCTGCATTATAAGGTTATTTTGCCATTATTTTGATTTTAATCACACTTCAAATTAATTAGTTTCACAAATTAGTTGGGTCATCTGTCCTAACAGGTAATCTACAATCATAGGCATGGTGCTCACAGCACAAATAAGCATTTTTTTTCGGCATTTTCCCTAGCAAATGAAAATTGTAGGATACTTCATTCAACCAGCTGACTGGCAGTGTTCAGATGGGGCGAGGGCAGCCTCTATGTTCCCTGTAGCCTGTCAAAACTCTAGTGTCTCATTAGGAAAACTTTATACTATAGAATGACAGAAAAGAATATCTTATAGGCCTTGAAAGTTAGACTTTTTTAAAACTTGAGGATACTGGTAGCAACCCCCGACTTCATGTAACAGAAAATTCAGATTATAGTGTCCAACTTCATGTGACACTGATTTTATTTGGTAAAGAAATTATGACGGTATCATTTTCAGTAAATGTACATTTCTCTTATGTCTCTCTTTTGTGCTTCCGACACTTTTATAGTCAAGCCTGAGATAGCTTGACTATCTCAAGCCCTATAATCTGTAGGTCTGTACAGTTGAGAATATCCAAAATAATAAAAGAAAACATTTGCATGCAAAGTATGAGCTCATGAAATCATTAATGCATTTCAAATAATCCCTTGAGATATTAATAAAGACTGATAATCTGATGTTAATCTACTTGCACTATTTTGTGCAGCTCTAGTATTTACTGATGATGTGTGACAGAGGTTAAGACTAACGACAGCATAACTCCTGCTGTCTTGGCCGTCCAATCTGAGGAGCATGTTGGAAATTAGAAGGACTACAAATCCCTCTTAGGCAACATGTAGCAAAGGTTTATGTTTACAGTAGACTGTGTGACTAAATGACTAAGTACATCTACAAATAGCCACTGCCTCCTGACGTAACCGATTGTCAGGATAATACCATCCAATCTCCTGCACAGGTGTGCCAGCAAATCCATGTAAATGTGTAAAAAGGACAACTCATCAAGACAACATTTATGTATCTGCAGTTGCAAAGTCTTTCAAAGCCTTGATTACATCTTGAAGTTATCAATTACACTAATAGTATGGCTTCCCAGTGACTACTGTCTGGGGTTTGGGATGATGCATATCACATGGCCCTTCAAGTACTACACAGTTTACAAACAATATGCCACAAACGGCCTCATAGATCACCTGAGTGTGATCATCTGTACCTTCTTGAAACACTAACAAGTGGATGCAGGTGTGTTAATGTTACCATGTGTAACATATATAACAGAAATGAATGAAGCATAGCGGCAAAATTCTGTGACTGAAAAATATTGAGTTAATACGATGAAAAATTTACAAAAGCATACGACACACTGTCTGTTAAAAGCAAGGTTACAAAACCAAATGGTGTCCAAATAGATGGGGCCTTTCTCCAGGACAGTACTGATAAATTAATCAGTCTTTTTTCATGTATTATTCAGTCCCAGGCCCTCTTTGCTAACAAAGCATGGTAGATTCTCATTGCAAAGACAAGCAACAATGGAACAACATGGCATACCTTTCAAAGATTTGATAACTTCCCCATGCTTAAGAATATCATAGAAGTTGCATGTTTTTTTTGTTGCCATTATTCACTTAGAAATACTAGATCTCAGCTGTTCAACAGTGGTTCCCAGTGATGTTTCAATGCACAGACAATGTTAGAATCACTATGGTTCCCTAAATCTGAGCATCAAGAAAGTCTGAATTTGTAAATAGCACTAAAAAAAACTTGGTTATGAAAGTTAAAACCTTGCTGAAAATTCACTTCGGCCCTGTTTCTCTCAGTTCTCAAGTACAATTTAGAAAATTATCTAGGGGAAAACAATTTCAATGATTGTTACCGTTTCACTTATAAGTATGGCTATTCAGGCAAATGTACCTGAGTCAACAGTTTTGACTTTTAAACAACAAAAGAAAAAAGAGCAAGATTGCAACCAAATCAATTTCCGAAAGATAAAGTTGTTTTGTGCTAACACCTCACTTTCCCATTTCAAATAATGAATCCACAGTAGCTAAGTGACTCGTAGTTCACCTTCTGCAACAATTTCCTCGACAGTCACTTGATATCTTCCGATGCTGAAGACCCGTCCAATGAAGCTCCCGCCGCCGCCAGAACCGGTGCCTCCTCCGCCAGCTCCCGAACCAGGCCCAGAGCCCGCAAAGTCCCGACGAGAGTCAAAGAATTTCTTCATTTCACCCAGATGCTATCGAGAGCAGGCCGAAGTCCAAAAAAATAGCTTAGAGTCGAAACGACGGCGACAGCAAGTTATAGTCGGTCCCAATCCACTGAGGAACCGGTGTTTTCCTCCTGCAGTGGCTTTTTAACAACTGAGTGATAGCAGTAAGCTACCTGGGAGACAGAAAATAGCTGAACTAGCTTGAAATAATGCCAAACACTGTTGTCTGAAGAACCTCTGCTAACTCATGGTTTGACCAAAAGGCGGAGTCAAATGTTCAAGAAGTCATTGTTTCTGTCTGAAGCGACACCAACACCGGCTGGCTATACTAGCCTGGCTGCGAGCCTAAAAACAAAATTCCCAGTTAGCCGTTAGCGCACCTAGCTAGCTCCCGAGCTAAGCAGCTAGGTGACAGCTGTCAGTCGATAGACTGGGCAGCCAGGTAGGTCCTTGGTGGCCAGAGTAGCCTATAACGCATCTCTACTTGTGTCTTCAGTACATAGTGTTAGCCAGTTCATTAGTGGGTTTGTCTCATGCGAAAAAAACAACAACGACGAAACACTGCCCATACGCGACCGCAGCAAGTTGTGGATTGCTGACCAGCTCCAGGTTAGTGGCTGGGCTAACGTGGCTACAGGCAGCTGGGGAAGAGCACCTTCTTCCCAGCTCCGGTCCTTCCCTCTGATTGGTCAAAACAGTGACTTCCTGTTGGGCTGCTCAAGTCGTCGCCTTACTGGTGACTTGGGACAATAAACATTCAAATAAAAATCACAAGCCGTTGCCACGATCTCATTTCAGTCTAGGAATGAATTATAATCACATTGTCACCAAAAACTTGTTATATAGCTATTTATTTTCATTGTTAATTTTTCATCTTTATTTCTTCTTGTCTTTTAGTTTTTTCCTGGAGTGGTTTCCACAGTGAATCATTTTCATCCATTTAATCCTATTCTCAGCATTCTTTACCCTCACACTAACTAACTTCAGAAGCTCATCCCCCACATCCACATAAATCTCCTCTTTGCTCTTCCAACTGCTCCAACCTGTGCATCCTTCTACAGATATATTCATTGTCTCTCTTCTGAAACCGTATCTCTAAAACACCTGACATGAACTGTCCCTCTCATGCACTGATTTCTGATCCTATCCATCTTCGTCACTCCCAAAGAGAACCGCTGCATCTTGAGCTTTGCAACCTCCAGTTCTGCCTTCTGTCTTTTTCTCATCAGTGCTGTCTCCAAATCACAACATCACTGGTCTCACCACTGTCTTTTACACCTTACCTTTCATTCTCGCTGATACCCTCTTATCAAATGTCACAAGTGGTATTTTTCTCCACCCACTCCAACTTATTTGCACACACTTCCTCCTCTTATGCATTTTCTCTGCTGGTCTGGACTGTTTACCCTAAAGTCCTCTAATATCTTTAGATCTGCTCCCTCTAATGTCACCCTACTGATATTGCAAATCACAATCCCATGTGCAAATAGCATAGTCCATGGAAGCCACATCAGCATCCTTAAGGCAAAAACTGCATCCGTAGTACTACTTATTGGCTGGAAACCATATGGCTGCTCACAAATGTTCCCTTCTGACCTACGTCTGCTGCTTCCATGGCTCTTTCTCACATCCTAATTGTATGACTGATTAGCTTTACTTTTCCTTGTCTGTTCAAAGGTTTTCTCAAAATTCCTCCTTTAATAGTGTTTACTTTATTCTGTATTGTTGCCAAAAAAGGGAATATTTTGATTTTGAGAATGAGAAAACATGGCAGCTTTCACAGTTTTTAATAAGACCAACAACTAATTTGACCAATTCTTGTGTCTCTGATGATATCATTGACTCAAAGTATTGTAGAGTTAGATGATTTTTTTCTTCAATATGCTTATAAAAATATTTTTACTTTGTGAAATAACTATACAGGCACACTGTCACATCCAATGACAATTTCTAGAGAGATTAATTAACCTCCCACCTATGGGAGGAAGCCAAGCTACCTGGAGATAACTCATACGTAGAGAAAACATGTAAACTCTATGGAGAAAGACTCCAGGCCAGAATTCAAACCCAGGACCTTCTTGTTGCAAAGCAACAGAGCTACCAGTTGTGCCACTGTGCAGCCATTTTGTGAAATTATGCATTGTAAATCTATACTTCAGCTACTGTGTTATTCTTGTCAGTGTTCATTTGTGGGTGAATAAAAGAAACACAACTGGACATCATCTTTAAAATTAATCAAGCTTGTTTCTGAATATTTCTCCACCAGAGGTCACTGTTTCATCATAGATTAAATATGATCGTGCTTTGCTTGTGTTTTTCTTCTTAAACCATTAATAGGCTTCAGACGCGATGTTATTGGGACGGTATAAAAAATAATTTCTGTCATTAAGCAATTTCAAAAGCAGATTTGATTTGAGACTATCTCTGGGGTTTTTTTTTTGTTTTTGTTTTTGTTTTGTTTTTTTAGCTTGTGTCATTCCTACTGAAGACTCAATTTAAATCATTTTTTCAGATTAAGCAAAATTCACTGTTCTTATTGAGGACTGGACGTTGTTTACAAAACAATAATTAATGCTCATGTTTTCTTTTTCTGAATTGCTTAAATGTTAATGATTTTTGAAGCAGCTTAAGAAATAAAAATGCATTTCATTTCAGACTTTATTCTCAAATCTGTTATTGACACAATGAACACATTTATGCATTATTTGCTTACAGTGTACAGAACATTTCTTCCAACCCAGTCAATGCCTTGGATTAAATCCAGCTGTACTGTGAAACGTAATTGAACAACTGAATATTTGAACTATTAGACCATTTAAGCGGCAGAGTTGTCAGAGCGCTTGTGATAAATCACCAATGCTCTGATGTGTTCTTTCTTCTCTGATCGTCTATAATGTACTGGATCTCTTCTGACAAGGAATCCTAAGGTAAACACACTTTGTTCTCATTTTGTCTGTGCTCCCCTGAGAACCAAAACATCCTTACCATTCGGCGTCCAGTGTTCAGATAGCTCACAGAGGCAATGTTGAAAAGAAAAAAAAGTGAGCGTTATGTAAGCACATATCAACAACAATGTTTAGTGGTGTGTGGGAGCCCGTCTGAGTGGGAGTTGCATCATTAAAGGAGGTGAATTTTATTTTGTGGAAGAGGATATTGTTACATTTGTTATGAAGGGATTTCCGTGTGACTTGATTTGACAAGCACAGTGGGGAGAGCAAATGCTTTGGGAATGTTTTCCAAACAGTGGAACAGCATCTTTTATCAAAGTAAATGACATCAAATAATAATAATAATAATAATAATAATAATAATAATAATAATAATAATAATAATAAAAGACGTGAAGATTCTCTGCAAGAACATGGGGAAAATGTTGGTAGCTGTAGGAAGATGAATAGCAACATATACCAGAGGAGGAATTCAAAAAGCTTGACATCAATTAACTGTGTGGTTGCTATAAAAACCAATAAAGATTTTTAATTAATAATTGAAATGCATAGACAAATATAAATGAAGAGCAATTTGTATCACTATTTAAACTACTATTTTAATTATTACTTAAATGAAACTAACTTGAAAACTAAATCTGCCAAGTCTATCAGTAATCCTGGCCTAAACTTTCTATTTTCTAATTTACTTCTCAAATGCTGTAAATTACTAACTGCTCCTTAGAAAACTCTCATGCAAAATGAAGCCTCTTGCTTTTACATATCTTGACCTTTGATATTCCTTGAAAGCAGGAGGTTGCTCTCGTTGATGTGACCTTTCTTTCCATGAAATGACCTTTTGTTATCTTCTCATTGGACTTTTAGTAAAACAATGACGTGTACTGTTTGTTTGTAAGTCACACCTGTCAACAGATGTGACTTCTATTCATAACTGTTAAGTGATTTGCGTTATATTTCATGCAAATGCCAGCAGATACTAAACAAAGAATCAGCAACTCTTGCTGATGCTTTGATGTTTTGATTTTATATTTTCTGCTTATAAACGCAGAACAGACACAATACAGAATTAATAACATGTCCACAATTTAACAGGTAAGCCAACAAACATTCACATTATGATTAAATATTCCAGATCTCATTTTAAAAGCAAGACACTGTAGACACGCAGAGGAGTCAGGAAAAGTCACTCAGACACTTTGTTTTTGGGAAGAGAAGCCAATGCTTGCACTTTTTTACTGTGAAGCCTCAGTATCATCTGCTCATACTCAGTGTAACGACAACGTTTGCAGCGCAGGGACTTGCTTCTATCAACAGGTTATGATGACAGACAGCTATTCTGTCGGCCATTGATGGCAAAGCGGCTGCTTTTGGATTGGACTTTAGATTGGAGAGGCAGCAGGTGTGCTGGCCGGGTGTGGAGGGTGTTGATAGCGACGGTGCCAAACGGCAGCTCTGCCTGGAACAACCATGTAATCTGATGATAATAGTTGCAGCTGCAAAAACAACGGAAGGAAAGAATAAAATCTGATGCTCCAGAATCTAAGTGTATGGTATCAATACATAAAGTTTCAAATATGTTGTGTCATGCACTGTGCAGTGTCTTGCAAAAGCATAGTTTTCATAACAAATTCATGTCACATTTTTCAATCTCCACAAACATTATATATTTTGCTTGGATTTAATTTGATTTAACATATAAAATCCCCACAAAATGGATTGAAATTCTTGATTGGAACTTGATAAAATATGAATAGGTAAAGGGGATATCAATACCTTTACCAGTCAGTGTAAATTGAATGCTTAGTATTTGAGACCTACATGAAAACATTTGGTAATAGAAAAAGGCTGAGCATCTCCTCTTCTCATTAGCATCTCTTATCGGTCCACCCAGCCAACCCACAATCAGTGAAGATCAGCGGAGGCAGGAAGACTGAGGGATGAGGGGAAAAGGCAACGGGTAAACTTCCTGTGGAATGTGGCTCCTACTCTCGCAAAGGGTGGAGTGCTTCTTACCGATAGAAGAGACGTAGAGTTTAACCCCATTTCTTGTCTTTAATTGTTTTTGGTCACAGAACACCAGGAAAGAATACTTTTTTGTATTAGTAAACAGAGGCCATCATTTGTAAAGATAAGATATTTGTTCAGGAATGAGGAAATGACAGAAACAATGAAGTTCTGTCATTTTGAGTGAATCGGTAAAAGAAAATGAACATCTTTTAGTGACTGTCATGCTAAGAGTCCTTTTGGACTGGGTGTGTTCTACGCTACAGCAAAGAGAACATCTGAGGAACAGTCTATCCCATTACTTTTGAAGCTATCCCTATCTCAGATGTGCCTGAATGTCCTGTCAACACTGCTCAGTCAGGAACAACCAATCAGAGCTAGGAGGAGGGTCTTAGCATTGCCAATCATGCTTGTGTACATGCTGTTTACACTCTCGCCCTTGCTCTCTTCTACAATACAGCGAGTTCCCCATAATCGAACCCGGCATGAATGCTAAGGCTAGTATCGTTTATCTCTTCTTTGTTCAATAATCAACCTCCCCAGTATATATAAAACTCATTCTGATTTCCTCATTGTTGGTTTCTCATCTACTCCTACTGTCATTTTTCCCTGGATTCCTGTTTTTGTTTTGGATCTGGCTTCCTGTGTTCACTGGCTCCCTGTGTGGTTTTGCTTGTAAGGTTTTTCAGTTTTGTCATTAAAGATCTTCC